TCTGATCATTTTCATCCCTCTCTAGAATATCTTTTAGTAGTCTGTGAAGGCTTGGCTTTGTTATCATGAAATTCTTTAGTTGTTCTTTGTCATGGAAGTATTTCACTTCTCCATCAAACTTGAAAGAGAGTTTTCCAATATATAGTAATCTGGGCTGGAATTTGTTTTCGTAGACTTGAAGTACTCTGCTCAATGCTCTTGGCTTCATGGTTTGTAAAGAGAAGTCAGCCATTTTCCTTTAAATGTGATCTGTTTCTTTTCTCTAGTGGCTTTCAGTATATTGTTCTTTTTTTCTGGATTTCTGGGATCTTGACTATTATATGTCTCAGTGTGTATTTTTTGGGGGGTTGAAGTTATTTGTAGTTCTGTATGCTTTGGTTACCGGAATATCAAATTGTTTCCTCATATTTTGGAAGTTTTCTGCTATTACTTCTGCCCATATTCTTTTTATATCATTTGTATTGACTCCTTCCTTCTCATTGATGCCTATTAGTCTCTCATTTTGTTCTTTGCACCATCTTGCAGGAGATGAATTATTTTTTCCTTCATCCTATTTTTAAGAGATCTTTTCTTACCTTTTCACTAGCTGCCATAGTGCCTTCAAGATCTGAAACTGTATCTTCACTTTCACTCAAATGGTTTTGCAAACTTGTGATTGAGATTTTAAGTTCCTCTGTCTCTTTGACTCTGCTTCATGCAATCTATTTCTTTCCTGTATTGCTCATTGAAGGATTCCGTCATTTTTCTAATCTCCTCTATTTTTTATCAGTGTCTTCTTGAGAAGCAGTTATTAATTCTTTTACTACAGAGATTATTTCTGATCTGATTTCCTCTCTACCTTTCTGCATTTGTTTACTTCAGACACTATTAATTCAGACATCTCAGCTGTGTGATTCCCAAAAATTTGAATTTAAATGATACATATTAAGTGGGATTTTTTCAACCTTTTGAAAATGTAAAAAATCTTTCACAAGCTATCCAAAGAGATACCAGGCCAGTGTAGCAATTTGCTGCTCTTTGATTGAGAAGATTAAAATGCAAATTTAGTCAAAAACATTCCAGCTAAACTGTGATTATTCTACAGGCTTTGTAAGAGAGCTTTGCAAGTAACATAATCATCTCACTTGACTTCATTCTCTTCTGTGTTTTGGAGTGTTTTAATTAGAAATGGAAAAGCCAGAAGGCATCTTGAAAAGACTTAAAGATCATAAAGAGTCTAAAAATTGTTTAAATGAAGTTACTGGCCTCTGCATGATACTTTTCATGATATTATCAAATAATTTCTGCACAGAACTTAACAGTTTATATAGTATACTTTCTTTTAAGGTTGAAAACAACCATTTAAGATTACATTAGCTTACTTTTTAGATGAGCAGACTCCAACTGCGTCTAGCATTAAAAAGTGTGTAAGCGCACAGTGAAACTTCACATAGGTCTTCTGTCCTTGAGTCTCTGTTCTTGTCGCTAGATCTAGCGGCCCCATTGCATAGGCTGTTAGCCCGTACTTACTGTGGAAGACACAACATTCACGGTTGTCTTACTGCAGAAGTCCCTTTGCTTCTACTGCTGCTCTTGCTGTTTAGTTTAATGCCACCATGCTGATGTGAAGAGTAGAGATTTTTGTTACTCAGAGAGCTTTATTATGTATACAAAATATGGCCACATGATTATCAATGTGCTATATACATTATTTAAAATTCATAGAACTCAAACTCTAAGTTGGCTATTCTTAGGAAGCAGATATTTTGTGTGAAAAATTATACCCTTTTTGTGATTAACAGAACATAAAAGAGGAAACTAAGTTCTATGAGAATATTGGATGATAGCATTGACCACAGTAGTAAAATAAGCTGCAATTAGGATTTCAGGTCTGCTTCGGACAGGAGCTTTTTCTAGTTAGCTTTAGGAAAATACCCGTTAACCAGCATAGCTTCAGGTGAGCATAGTCATCCTCAGTCTTCTTCTCTTTTCAAATTCCTGCCTCAGTGTGGAGAACACTTCCCACTGAATAGTCTTACACTGCAGGTGAAGTAGCAGTTAATAGGCCAGCCTTGAGACTTTGCTGGAATGGTTGGCTTCCAGTGAGATGACTCCAGTGCATGGGGAGATTTCAGTTTACACATTCAAATATCTGAGCACACGACCCAACCCAAGTGTCCCTTCTGTGAAGTCTTGTTTTCTTTGCAAGTATTTGCTCTATTTCAGTATCTCCAAAGCACTTGATACTTGAATCCAGTAAAATATATTTTTTAAAAAGTTATGCCTGTTTTTATGTATCTAATGCATTTTTAGAGTATGTGTTTCTTAAAGCCTGTAAACCCATTCCAAGGTTTAGCCTAGTCTATACAGTAGAGCCATAGTTACATGAAAGATTGAATAGCTTAGCTGTACCTAGTTTGAAAAAAACTGGAGTAGATCAGAACAGCTCCAGAAATAAGTAGGGGCATGGTCTAGGCAGGGTCCAAGCCTGAGCTGTGCTCCCAGATCTGTGCTGGCAACAGGTTCACTTCTCGTGTTTGCTTGAACTAAACTGTAATTGTGGCTGGTAGGTTACAGGATGTGTCTTCTGTCTCCCTGGCTGTCAATCTAGTGTTCTTCTGTATTCATTTCCCACTCTGGGGAGAAAAAGAGTTCTCAATTTGAGAAGTTATATGACCAGAATAAGAATAGGAAGCTTTTGGTTGTTGTGACTATTAATTATTCTATAAGCATAAAGTTTACCAATTATACTGCTTAATATTCAGTTTTCTGATGTAAGCATGAAAAAAGAACACCAAGCCTGAATCTTGCAAGGGTTATTTAGGAAAGCTAGAATTACCTGAATTCAGTGTGCTTTAAATTTTATCATCTTTCTGTTTTTTATGACATTACCATGTTTTAATTAGCACTATACATTTAAAAGACAAGCACTATACATTAAGAGTTCTTCAACAAAGTGAACCTTAAAGAATTTTTTTGAGTCTCAGAATTCAAGTTTTCAGATCAGTTCTATGTACAAGTTAAGGCATGGCTACAGCTGAAAGTATTTAGGAAAAAACTAAAGAACTCAATTTCTATCTTTTGATATTTAGGAAAAATTAACTCTATTTTTGGTATTCATTTATAAAATAGCTTAGTATATAACTTGTTAATAGAACATTTTTCAACAGTGTGTAAAAGCTAAAAACCAAATTTTAGAATAAAACCATATTAATATTCACAAACCAGACTGAGAACAGTCTGAGTATACAGAGTATACTGGAACAAATATTTGCCAGATTGGTAGACATACAGGAACTCCATCCTGGATTTAAGAAAGGGTTGTATTGTGTTTTTAGTGCTAGTGATTGGAGTGTTAGGACAGGAAAAATATGCTCTGTTGAAGAAGAGTAGCGGAAGCCCATGGGTGAGTGGCATGCTGAAGGCAGGCTGGTGGGCCAACGAAGAGTGGGTACAGAGAAGAGGTCCTCAATGGAAGGAGAGCCTGGTATCATGCCACCTTTAATCGTGGGCACTGTGACCCATGCCCTTTCAAGAGAAGGCAAAAGAAGAATGGGTGCTCTTACGGCCATTTAGTGAAATATTGCTCGCTTGAGTATGCTATGATAATTTGGCTTGTTTCATATTTGGTTTAAGTAAGCTATTCTGGATAAGTAAAATGTTGAGTTAGTTTATAGCCAGATAATATGGAAAACTTCTTTGAAATTGGCATTTGACACTGCTGACCACATCCTCCTTGGGCTCCATTATGAGAAATGCGGGCGAGCTACGCATCCTTTCTGGGTAGCTTGGTTGGGTGGCAGAAGAAGCAGAACCATCTAGCCAGTTTAGTGGCTGATTCCTAAACATTCTCACTAGAGTCATATTTTGCTTAGTTTTAAATAATTGTAAGCTCTTTTAATCTGCCTCCCAAATGACTGATTCAGTGGCCGCCAGAGATGCAAACAGAATTTATCCACAAGATTTGGAGATCCTGCAAGATTTTCTCCTTTGCGGCAGTCCCTTTTCACTTTCCAGCTGCAGTGGCTATGCCTCTCTGTCTTCTCTCCTGCAATCCAATAGGAATACAGGTTTCTCTCAGGATTTTGTCACTCCACAATCCCAGGGCCTATCCTCATTATAAAAGCTGCAAGAATGAAAAACTCACCCAGGTTCCATGCCAGTCCCCTCCTTTACATGTCAAGCTTGTACCTCAAATGTCTGCATTCTTTGGACATTCTTCAATGCCCTTAAGCAGGTTTACTTTGTCCAGAGTTTATAGTTATCTGTGCTTATGTGCTGTGGCAATGGAAGGAGAAAAGGGTTAAACACTTTTAGTAATGAAATTTTAAAGAGCTTTTTCTAAGTTGTAAACCCATTAATTTCTATGTTAAAATTAGACATACATGGTATCAAAAATGATCTGGCACTATGGTGTCATGAAATCATTCTCTGTCTAGCTGGTATTACTATTTTGCTAATGTTATTTTTTTCCATATAACCCTTTCCTTAATTTTAATTATTCAAAAATAAAGTACTAAGTGAAAGGCACTATTCTGGATTCTCCATTTGTTGAAACCTTCGTTCAAAATCTAAATCCAGTATAATGTTCTAGAATTATTCCCTTATTCCTGCTAGTATGATTTGCTTTCATCTGAATGCCTTTGATATGTTTTATTTTTTTTAATTTTTATTTATCTCTGTGTGTGTGTGTGTGTGTGTGTGGCCAGCTCAGCCCACCAGGGGGCGGGGCGGGCTGGCATGTGGTGCTGGGGGATTGAACCACAGTCCCTGTGCTTTCCAAGCCTGTTCCAAATAGGTGCTTTAGACCACTGAGCCATCTCACCAGCCCCTGAATGCCTTTGATACTTTGTTCCACCCTTGTGATATTTATTAATATACTTTTCTCCCCACAACTTCTGTTCTTATTCCCTGATATAAACATCACTATGGCAAGGGCCCTTGTAATAAACATACTATAAACTGGATATTATACAAATAAGGTTAATTAAATTAACTTTCTTAATAATCCCACTTTTTAGATTCAGGTCAGAAGACAGTTAGGAGGAGGAGATCTATCATAAACTGGGCCTTTTGGCGGGGTTCCAGCACTCACCTGGACAACTTGCCTGTGTCACCAACATCTCCTGTACCAGGACAACTCTTTGGAGTGTCATTGCAAGATATTTGTGAAAATGACAATCTACCCAAGTCTGTCTTGGTAAGTCTCAGTTGGGCCTGTAAACTAATAGAGGAGGAAGTGTGGGAAAGGAGTTATCTAGGGAGGTGACTCCCAAATACAAAAATGCTAACACCGCTGGCTTTGGCTAAAAGTCTTTATCTTACTTTTTAAAAAGTCTGATTTAGCTGTTAGTAAATGAAAAGGAAGATATAAGGAGATAATCTAGTCTACTCATTTCAAGAAAGTGGTGTAAGCCTGCTGAAGTAAATTTGACTTGCTCCATACAGAGAATCCACATTGTCCCTCACAAATCATTTCCTGAAACTCCACATTGTTCTGAAAATGTCATATTGTCACTATGTAGAGACTTCTCAATCTTTTTAAAATTTTGAAAACTTTTTTCTTCTAATGTTTAAACATCAAGAGATTCTCTTTCCATCTTTTATAGTAGAATTGGTGATACAAACCACTGTTTGTATTACGTCCAAGTAATACATTAAATAATTGATCACTGTTCAGGAACATTCATTGAGCACCCTTACACGGTCATACCTGTGTGGCAATTCATGTTCCGTTGTGCCTGTGCAAGTGCCGGACACTAGTGCAGCCACTTTATTATTATATCGGTCACAACAAATTTGGAGAGTAGTTATCATTATCATCCTTGCTTTACAAACTAAGAAAGAAAGAGCTCTGGAACCTTAACAGAAAATTACAAAGTAAATAAGTGGTGTAATTGGCTTTAAGTCACATTCTCTTTCTGTACTGAGAACATGTAATCAGAAAGCAAAATTGAAGAACGTTGGTAAAATCAGCAGTTTAAAAAATATAACATATTTTTATTAACTATAGTCGGCATGTTATACAATCAGTCACCTGAAAGTTTTCCTCCTAACTAAGATTCTTATCCTTTGACCAGTATATCTCCCTCCCATGTCCATCAGGCTGGTAACACCATTCTGTCCTCTAAAACAGGCCTAGCTCCAGTCTGTGAGTGCTTTGCCCTGGCCTCTGGCAACCAGAGGAAGCAAGTGCCTGTTCACATAAAGATATGTGAAGGAGTCATTTCATTTCTTCTCCTGTTTTCCCATAGGATATGCTTTTCTTTCTTAATCAGAAAGGCCCCCTTACAAGGGGCATCTTCAGGCAGTCGGCCAATGTGAAGTCCTGCAGAGAGCTAAAAGAGAAACTGAATTCTGGAGTCGAAGTACACCTCGACTGTGAATCGGTTTTTGTGATAGCGTCTGTCTTAAAGGTAAGGAGGAACGCTCACCTTCTGTATGCCCGTCAGGTCGTTCCGGAGCAGGACACATGCTTTGTTTCATTAGAACACTAATCCTATGTGCAGAGAGTCATGCATTTACAACCTAGAAAGCATTAAAAATATTTCACAAAGTCATCGTTGCATCACCAATGACATGACATGTTAGATATGTTTTATTCTTCAGTTTCTTTATCTGAACTCCTGCCACCCCTTGCACAAAGCAAAAGTTAAAGTTTATTATAAGCAAGGAACTCATAGTATCTTTACCAAAACAAATATCCTGCTTATGCTGATTTCATCTTCTCACTGTTGTTTAATGAAAGCAGTTTTCAAAAGTAAACCTTTATTAAGCTATTAAAAATAGTTGCAGAAGTGTACCGTAATAGCCATTTATTTGCCTTACAACTGAAACAAAAAATCGCTGAGACCATTGAAAATTCCATTCATAACTGCAGTCATCATCCCCATAAATATTCCATCCCCTAAATCCCTAATGCTTTCTATGTTAAAAGTGGAATAGGAATTACTCCAACATGTGGGCCTTCTTTTGCCTTTCCTGTATTTGGCATTCTTTATGGCTTTTACCCCTCACCTATGCTTACGTAAGTCTCCTCTTCTAAAATAGTTTCTTCCCCACATTCTTGGAAATAGTCTATGTTTTTTTAAAAACCTCAAGTCAAAACCAGCATTAAGGAGAGCTTTTTAACCTAGCAGTAATTTCCACAGATCTGCTTCAAGCTCCTAACTCCAAAAGGTTCTATGTACTCAACTGGGCTAGAGAAGACCTCATCATGAGGCATAAAAACCATATTAAGGAAAATGTAGTCAAGAGTTGCGTACCCCTGTTCCAGCTGAGTGCCCAGCTCCTTACAGAATAAATGTTAAAAATCTGATGTTTGTTGGCAGTGAGCCATATCTGCTCTCACATCATGCTGTAGATTCTTGATATCACTCAAGAGAAATGGTACTGGGTCACCTAATCTGTTTGGACAAGATTTTGATTATTCTTTAATCCTGGTTTCTAGTAATGATATGACAAATGTAAATGCTTCATGAATTTTTCCTCTCACATAATTGGGTCTCCCATCCCTTCATGTAGGAATGTCAAGCCTGTGTATTAGACAGCTTTCCTTGCTGTCCTTCACAGCACCAAACATGCATGCTGCATTGTTGAAGGATTGCAAAGAAGTGTGGTGCTAGAAGAGCAGAAGAGCTAAGATGTGTTTCTTTTTTTTTTTTTTTTTTTTTTTTTTTAAAATTTTATTGATAAACAGCAATGAGACAGTTTCAAGCCTTTGCTTTTTTTTAATATTTATTTATGTGTGTGTGTGTGGCCAGCTCAGCCCACCAGGGGGCGGGGCTGGCTGGCATGTGGTGCTGGGGGATTGAACCGCGGTCCCTGTGCTTTAGCTAAGCTTGTTCTAAGTAGGTGCTTTAGACCACTGAGCCATCTCTCCAGCCCCTAAGATGTGTTTCAAACTAGGAATTTTGTGTGTTCAAAGACAAGGCCCTCAAAAATGATCAAATAAATGAAATAGGTTAAATCATTGCAAAACTAATTTACTCCTTTTTCAAGTGGTTTCAGTTTATGCCAAAAGTTTGGATGTTTTTAGTTGATACAGCTTTTTTGTCTTTAAGACTATTTTGAAGTGGTGCTGAAGTTCTCCTTTAGTTTTCTCATATACTGGTTTTGCTTGAGTACATGCCTGACTCTTCATTCTATAATTCTACCAAAATTGCCTCAGGTACAAAACTTTGAGTAAAAGTTGCTGTTTCATCCACAGCATCTTAGATGAATTAAAGAGTTCGGGGGCTCTTATATGGTGAGAGGATGACCAGGGCTCTGATATGGAAGGTGAGGAGAATATCAATTGAGCACTGCAAGGCCGTGTTTGTAATTCAGAACCAGTCCTCATGCATTTCTCAGCTGTGGTGATGGTTGTATTTCATAACTTGTTATTCCAGCTGTGGGAGAGTTCATTGAGATGTTACAAGCTATTATCTTTCAAGTGCAGATTTAAGATTTAATGATGTTTTTCTTCAAGACAGATCATAAGTATGTTTTCCACTGAATTTTTTTTTTAAATCTAGTGTCACTACCCCAATTTGAAATACCAGATTTTGCTTCTAAATCTGACTTTTAAAGTAGGTGCAGCATATAAAATTAGTTTGGAATTATGAGAACACAGTATCTTTCAAAAAAAAATAGTCTTTTGTGGTGATGTATCTGAGCCACAAGAAACTAGGTATATGACTATTGGGACATATAATTTTAAAAAGACTTTAGATCAGTCTGTACTTATTAACTGCTCCTAAAAAGTACAGTAATAGAATGTTGTGAGTACAAACAAGCTCTGAAAGTTATCTTAGTGTCTCAGTTGTCTTGTACATCATTGGCCTTGCCTTGTCCCTCTTTAATATTTGGCCCTGTGAGACACTATAATAGTTCAGCAATGACCTGTAGGATATCACTGGGGCCATGTTTGACATTTACATAAAGGTGGTGAGGCTCTGTCCTGCCCTGAAGGAGCTTGTGTACTATGAGGAAGGTGCCTGCATAATTGACTGACTATAGCAGTACGTTATTCAAGCTTCCGTATTAGTTATAAACGTGATATAGGGCTCACCAAATAACTCAGTAGATTAAAGCACCTGCAAGCAGGGGCAGGGGCAGGGGGTTCAATTCCAGGGCATGCAGTGCCAGCCCCGCCCCCAGGGCGCACTGAAAAGGCAGTTGAGACTGGGCGTGGTGGCTTGCGCCTATAATCCCAGCTCTTGGGAAGCTGGAAACAGGAGGATCACTACGAGTCCGATCTAGTAGTGAGACCTTGAACACCTTGTAAACCCTTCCCTGAAATACAAAAAAAAAAAAAAAAAAAAAAAAAAAATGAAATAAAATAAACGTGATATACAAGTAACAGGCTTCCATAAGGCACACAGATGAAGTTATTGATTTCATTTTCTTTTTATTATAATTTTCTTTTATGTTGAAGAGTAAAAACAAAACCAAGAAAAACAAAAACAAATACAGAAATAGGGTAATATACCACAATACATATATTACAGATTTTTGAAACAAGAATAGTTGATTAACAATATCTGTTAATCTAAGCAACAGATTTGACAATAAAAATAGATATTATTCATTGATTTGGTTTACTAGTAAGAATATTTTGGACTTTCACCTATAAACGGAGGTAGCCAACTGTGGGTTCAATTTTTAGACATTAAATTGAGTTCTCTCTCCCTAAAGCTTACTGAGGTGGAGATCTAACTGCTATTCCAAAAGCAATAGAGCCCTAGCCTCAAACAAAGGCTCTCAGATCAAACTTAGTTTACTTTTAAGCTGTACCTCAACAGAGGCCAAACAAAAGACACCCCTGGTTATATTCTGTTTATGTCATTGTATGGTTTTATCACACCATGTCCCACACAGTTCTCTCAAAGAATGACTCTCCAAGAAAGGATAACGCACTTGGACACGCCGTTTAGTACACTTCAGGTGTAGAGGTGCTGCTCTAAGTTCAAGGATCCGAGCCAACACTTAAAATGTTTTCTTCCCCAGACAACATGCTAGCAGCAACGCCACTGGAATATGATGTTCCAAGATAACCAGGACTTTGCTTTTTTTTTTTTTTCAAATGTGCCAGACTTGTTTGGGATAAAGAAGTGAACAAAACTTGGAATGATTGAATGAATGGTTATCTGACTGTGAACCTTACAGGCATCTTTACTTAGAGGGGAAAAGTATTTAGCAAGCTATTCTAGTTTAAGATGTATATAAACAGGTTTTTTCAGCCCAAAAAGTTGTCCTTTATTGGGTTTTTTTGATTAGAAAAAAATTAAAACGCGAGCCTGTGGGGAACAAATCAGTGTAAAGCTGGCACAGCCCGTATACTTCAAAGAAGCAAGGCTTTCAACAAAATACTGACTTTTCTGCTGCGTATTTTACATGAGAATAATGATTTAAACTGTTTGTTCTTTCATCTGTGTAAGGACTTTCTACGAAATATTCCAGGAAGTATTTTTTTGTCAGATATCTATGATCACTGGGTCTGTGTAATGGATCAAGGAAATGATGAAGAGAAAATAAATACAATTCAAAGGTAATTCTAACTTCCTCATGTCTCAGAAATGCTTATGTTTTATAAACTTGCCTATTAAAATACTGCAAAGTCATATTTTAAGATAGATTTTTGCTGCTTCTGTCGTTGTTTTTCGCTCTAATCTTATTAACAGGCAACACTTGAGCATGTACATCTTCTGTATATCTGAATCTAAGAGATAAAATGCATTAATCCACTAGATAACACTATAGACCTAACCTGTAATAGGTGAACTTAACCTAGGGAAATACTTAACCATGCAGTTTCATTTAGCAAGTGAAACTGTGTGCAGAAAATGACCTGCTGCCTGTCCCTGCTCTCTAGTAATTCAGTCCGGTAGACTAAAGCAGTAAACTGAGAACTACAGCTACAATGCAGTATAATCAGTGCTGGAGAAGATTTCGGGGGGTGGTGCCGAGGAAGCATAGCAGAGAAGCAGCTCAGTCCTGGAGAAATGTCACAGAAGACAGGAGTTGCATAGGCCCAGTCTGCTCGCAAAGAACAGTGTCTAAACTCACACAGGGAAGCTGTGGTAAAACTTACACCCCCATATTCTTACATATTTTCTACAATGGAAGGCAACAAGCAATACTCTGGTTCTATGAAAATCTATGAATCTTGGTATTTATTTGCATGTATTTGTTTTTCTTAGACCATTAAATATTATCTGCATACTGATACTGCTATTTTTATCAATATGATATCAGTATAGATATTGAAGACACCAGAACCCAAAGCCATGTACCAAAATACTACCCCTGCTTCCATTATATAACTTGATGTAAACCATTCAGGTAGTAGCATCAAATTCTGCATTGTGTTGCTCATTAGTTGAAACATTTTATTAGTAAACATGAAAGATTGAAATCATTAGTTAATGAAAGACCAGTAAGATATTACAGTTGTCTCAAAGGGGATTTCAGAATACTATAGCTTTTAACATTAATCAGAAGTGCTGAAATAAATTTATAAATAGATACAAAATTGACTTTGTAAAATCAGGACTGGGGTGCATACCAGTTGTCTCTGTCAGATAGAATTTAGTTCTGTAGACAAGTATTAGATGTCCAGCTGTCAGTGACCTACAACTTGCAGAGTTCCAAACTTGGTCATAGACTTCGGGACCCCATTAGAATTTGATAACCCAAAAGCATATGCTAGATTGAATGATTCAATCTTTTGGGTTTTTTCAGTCTTTCATAATTAGCCCTATCAAACACACTCATTGTTATTTCATTGTGCTATAAAGAAAAGCCTCTGCTATTTAGCACCATGAGTTAGACTGCCTTACTTCCCTAAGGTGGTAATTTCTTACAGAAAAAGTAAATCATGAGCATCAGTATTTATATTTCATATATGTTTTGTAGACAGTTGTAAAAAATCATTTTCAGTGAATGATTTTCTGAGAATCCTTTACACAGTGCTAATAGTAGAAAATAAACTACTATAAACTTGACTCCTGTGTGAAAGTGATACCAATGAACAAATATTTAAAACAAAATTGATATTAAAAGATAGAACAGCACAAGCTCTCAGAATGACCTGGAGGTCTCAATAAAATTTGGGTTCTCCTCAAGAGATAGCACTCTTGTACTGATACCTGGAAATAAAAGAGCATATTAATCTTTTTGTTTAGCATTTTAATCTTATAAGAAAAACTTTTGTGGGTTTTCACTAAATAGTACAGAATTCACCTAAATTAACACATATGATTCTAGTTCCAGGAAATATTTCAGGCAGTACTTTTATGTGACATATTTCTTCATTCTTCTACATTGAGTTATGCAAACAATGTACCAAAAGTAATAATTCCTAATGCTTGTTTTCTTTCTACATAAGCACTGCTTGCTTTTCATGTACCATATTAACTGAAACTCTTGCATATCTGAACTGTGTTTTTGATTTGCATGGTTCCTGATGGAAGCTGAGGGGTGTCTGTTTTTAGTGAAATGTCTTGCTTAAAGAGCACATTTTTTTGTCTTTAGACTATTGGACCAGCTTCCAAGAGCCAATTTTCTTCTCCTACGATATCTGTTTGGGGTACTATACAACATTGAGAAAAATTCCTCCACCAATCAGATGAATGCATTTAATTTGGCGGTATGTGTCACTCCAAGCCTCATTTGGCCTCCTTCTCCCTCCAGCCCAGAACTAGAACATGAATTTACAAAGAAGGTAATGACTTTTCATTTTTATTCCCTGGGGGACTAAAACCCATTTTGAAGCTGAAAATAATGGTATTCTCAAAAACAGTTTCATAGATAATGCTTCCTCCTTATAAAATTGAGCTTTCTGATTATAGTGTGTTCTTTTCTATCCTGTAGACTATAGGAAGGAATAGAATATAAGCAAGAAAGTAGTAGTTTTTCTTTTCCCTGTAAGGAAGCTAAACAGTAGGACTGACTCAAACCATAGACAGATAACTGAGACAGGAGGATCACTATGAGTCTGAACTGCATAGCAAGACCCTGTGTCAAAGTAAAATAAAATAAAAAGTTTTTAAAAGGAAACTTTAGAGTTAAACAAAGTGAAAGTTCACTTCTCTGCCCCACCACTTGCCAGGACATACAGTCCTGGGTGAAGTCAGTCACTCTGACTTAGGGAGTTCTTCTCTTTCAGAAGTGGAGGTAGTGGTGATCCTCACATAGTAGTTACTTGCAGCCGCGCTCCTACAGTGCCCAGCTGAATGGCATTTGGAGATATGCTGCCCTTTAGTGCCCTCGTTTCTTTTGCCCCTTGGCCTCACCTGCAGGAGCAAGGAGGCTACAGAGAGGTTCTAGTCTATCTAGGTGGAGGCACAGAGCTCCCTAGTAAACTTTGCTCTTCCCCTAAGTATGTCCAGTTAAGGCAATGCATGAGTTAAAAACTAGTCAGGAAAACACACATTTGCTTTCGCGCTGTAACTCTGCTTCATAGGACACCCGTGGATGGCCATCTTACCAAGTTTATAGCACCCTGCCCTTTATATAAAAATACTTTCCATAAGCATTACCAATTGATACTTCATAAATTCCACTAACAAAGTGTATTTCTTTATCCCCAAAATCCTGTGGACAGATTACCTTGAAATTACTCTAACTTTAAAGAGAGAGCCATTGGTATAATGTTAGCAGTAAGCCAAGGCACCAAAAAACAACTTGAGTCCACTAATTCAAGAGCATATTAGAGCAAGAAATGGTGGTACGTGCTTATCTTCCCAGCACTTGGGAAGCTGAGGTAGGATTGCAGGTTTGGAGTCAGCATAAACATAGCAAGATCCTCATCTAAACAAAAATAAAAGTAACTTGGGCACTATAAGCAACATATCATAGTATTTCAGGGGAACCTTTGTATACTTTTAAAGTACACAGTATATTTTTATGTACTTTCAAAATACTTTTCCTAAAAATTTTGGCTTTTTGTTAGAAATCAGAATTCATATATGAAATGTAATTTGTAAACATGTTATATGAAAAGTAGCGCTTTGATTTTGTCTTTGTATAGGTTTCCCTGCTTATACAATTTCTGATTGAAAATTGCTGTAGGATATTTGGACATGAAATCACTTCCCTCTTTGGAGAGGTTTCAGTGAGATGTAACACTAGAGAGAATTCCTCAGGTATTGTGCAGTTGGCTTTTTATCGGTACATCTTTGCAGTACATGAAGTTTACATTTCCTCCTAAGGAATAGGTGTGCATACATAACCCAGCTTCGTTCTTTTTTAATCTTCCCATCCACCTTTCTCCATCTCTAAATCCTCTTTTCCCATTTACATTCTTACTATTTTTAGTTCACGTTTATGGCACACAATATTTATATTCATCATGGATATTTGGTACATGTACCTAATACATCTTAAATCTTTTTTTATTTCCTTTATCTCCTATTCTCCCCCTTCAGTCTCCTAGACCCCTTCCCATTTGCAACAGATATATCTCCTTGGTTCCTTCTATTAATACTTTATTTTTCCCATTATTCGTACTTCGCCTTACTCAAATGAGGACTACCATACCATATGGTGTACAAGCTTGTCTGTCTGAATTATTTCACTTAACATTATATTTCCAGGTGTATCCATGTTACTATAAATGTCTTGAATTCGTCTTTCTTTCTAGCCAAGAAGTATTCCATTATGTCTGGGTACCACGTTTTCATTATCCATACACTGTTGACGAACAAACAGGCTCCTTTTGAGATTTAATTATTAGGAAATATGCGGCAGCAAACATTGACATGCTTATATCATAGTAATATGATGTCTTTAGCTGTTTGCAGAAGATACCCAGAAGGGGAATAGCTGGGTCAAATGGAATTTCTGATTTTAGGTGTCTAAATTCTTTGTAATGAATAGAAGTATGTCTGTGAATATGTCAGAATAGTAGTTGTCTGAGAGCGTAAAGCAGCTGAGGTGAGGGAGCCTGTGACGTGGGTCAGTGAGTGGGGCCAAGAAATTTTATTCCATCCTTATAAGGCCTGCTAATAGCTCAGGGTATGAAGAAGCTAAGAAATGATGAGGTCTCATCCTTAAAAAGTTTTTAGTGGGGCCAGGGAGATGGCTCACTAGAGTTGAATCCCCAGTTCCACAAAAAAAAAAAAGTATATTAAACTGTGGTATGGTGATATTTAAACCTTTAAAACAAAACAAAACAAAAAAAAAAAGACCTTTGAGGAGTGCCAGTATATAGTAAGACTACGGTCACTGAAAATGTCATAGAGGACAAGAGCAGAAAGAGCAGACCTGTTTTCTTGCTCGTAGTAGACTAAGACATCTTAGAATTGTAGTGTACTATGAAACAGTTTGAAAACAACTGGTACTGTGTGGGAGGTATACATTCTGAATTCAAAAACATACAGCCTTCACAGTATGGATTGTCGTACCATCGATTACTAGTTATGATATCTTTGGCCAGTTATTCTGTAGTTTTGAACATCTACTTTTATCTATAAAGCATTGATAATTATTTGTAACTTTAGTAGTTGTAGCTAAATAAAGAAATAACACTCAAGTACTTCATTAAAGAGAAATTGATAGGATTAATTTCCCTAAGACTAGAATTATGTACTCAACCAGTAGTCCACCTTAGGAGGCAGTTTTATTCAAAGCTCTACCTGGCATTAATTTCTTCCTGTTTATCACCATTCCTTGATTTTATGGTATGTTTGTTAATTTGAGAAAATCTTACCCAGGAAAAGCCCACTTCATTAAGAATTGAGATAAATCTATTACACCCTAACAAATTTCTTCTTTTCTGTACTAACAATTGGAAAAACTACAAAAGATTCTTTCTTTATTGAGAGTATGTATTCAAACACTCTACATAAAAGGATTAAACTAAATACTTTGTTTTGCAGGCAGTATTTGCTATATTTTTACTTAATCGTGGTTTTTAATTTTTCTTGACAGACACCTCTTGTGTCCAACTGAATGATTCCTCCTATGACAGCTTGGAAAATGAGCTAAATGAGGACGTCGATGCTCCCTGTAGTGACTTGGTAAAGAAACTTGGCCAGGGCAGCAGAAGCATGGACTCTGTCTTAACCCTCAGTGACTATGACATTGACCAGCCTGAGGTGGAAGGACTTTTAACCCTGAGTGATTTTGACTTAGACCACTCGAAAGATCAAGACATTCAAATGAAACGACCTCCTGGGTCCAAGCAGGTAAATGTGCTAGTAATGAACCGAAATGCCTCATTGGCGGAGCATGCTGGGGCCTCGTCCACCACATGTACACCCAGCTACCTGTCCACAGCTGCAGCAGACGCTCCAAAAAGCCTGCGGCGACACAGACGCTGCTCAGAGCCCAGCATTGACCACCAGGATTCTAAGGTTTCTTATCTCAAGGAGTTTCACCAGAAAAAGCTCCGTAAGTCCAGCTGTGATGCAATCCTCTCTCAGAAAGATGAAGATGACCTGAAACAAAATCAGCACCCCCGAGAAGAAGGTAAGACATGTTTAGAACAGAGTTTAGTCAGAGATACTGATCCCAGCAGGAAAAACACCACTAATAAAAACATTAAGAAGAAAAGCCTATCAGGTAATGAAGGAAATCCTGTGAAACTTTTCCCTAAGTCCAAACCAGTGGCCATTTCTGTGGCATCTTGCGGTCATCTGGCCCCCCAGGATCATTCCAGGGACCAACATGTTGACGCACATACAACTGGATTCTCCCCACCGCTCACAGCAGATACACTCAAGAGTTCAAGGACACATCGGCGCTGCTCAGAGCCCAACATAGATGACCAGAACTGCAAACTGATCTATCTCAGGGGGATTTATTCAAAGAAGCAACATAAAATCAGCTGTGAAGCTGGTCTCTTGCAGGGAGAGGAGGATTATCTCAAACGGCATAAGTCTTTACAAATGGAGGGGCAAAAACTTATTAATCAGAGTCTGGTCATGGGGATTGAGGTGGGCAGAAGCTGTGCCACCAGCCCAGGCACTGAGAAGGTTTTACCCCCAAGACTGGACCTGTGTCCAAGCACGAGTTCATCCAGCCTATCTTCCCCAGGCACTTCCCCATCCGGCTCATCAGTGAGCTCACAGGATAGCGCCTTTTCTCAGATCTCGGAACACTCTGTGTTTACACCCACAGAAACTTCTTCTCCAATAGATTGCACTTTTCAGGCTCAGAAAAAGCAGGAAAACCCTTCTTCTGATGTTAGTACTTCCAGCCTCATTTCTAAAATGCCTGGCCCTTCCATTGGGCAGGCCAGTAGCCATCTGGCATATACAAAAAAAGACACAGTAGAATGGCACTCACAAATGCATTCTGTGACTCTTCATCCCAGCACATGGTTGAAAAACAGTGTGGCCAGTTTGAAAAATTGGTCCCTCAAGAAAAAAGCAAAAGTAACCAGACCAGAGGAAAGGAGAATAAATTCCCTAAAAGGACTTTCGGAGTCACCTCCATGTGCTGCTGATGTTCTAGAAACTGATTCACGGCAGGAGATTCAGAAAGACCTACCCTTGAGGGCAGCTGAAGGACCAGGCGCCATGCAGACAGCCCAGCCACATAGCTCTAGTTCCTGTCAGGCCTCAGAGAAACACTGTAGTGCTCCCTTCAGCCCGGTGGACAGCAGACTCAAGTTTTGCATGAAGTCCTACAAGGGAGAAGAGACTGAAGGGCAGTGCTGCTCTGGTCCTTCGCCTTGGGAAGAAGCTGCCTCCAGCTCTGGGACTGTATATGAGGTGGCCAGCCCAGCTGCAGGGCCCACAATGGTGTCTGATGGTGGGGATGAACATTTAACCAAAGACAGTTAACCACAGTAAGAATCTACTGTCTGCAACAATAGGAACCAGCCTGATAACACAAAATAATTATGACCCCTTTTAAAATAAGATACTTAGGAGAGGTAGCCTGAGAATATCTTGCTAATCGTTAGGACAGAAACATTTTCTTTACCAAGACTACTTGATACTTTAGGTTAAATAAAAAATTGCCTAAATTTAGGAAACTTCTATTTACGAAAGCATGGGATTGGAACGGCCCAATATTTTAGAGATGGAGGACTAGAGAAAGCATCTTCCACTGAAGAGGCCTGCTTTTGTCAGTTATCAGTGATGTCAGGGTCCTGAGAAGGCTATGCTGTCATAAATGAATCAGGGACAGAGGGAGGGCACTACAGAGAAACCACCCACGTTTATTTCATGAAGTGTTTTTAATATCAGGTGAGAAAAATGCCACTAACCAAAATATGTGTAGTAATGATAAAAATCATGTAACATCTTTTCCTGAATCCAAGCCAACTGTCATTTCCATAGCATCTTCTACTCACCTGTCCTTCTGGAATCATTCTAAGAACTGAGCACATTAATGTAGCTGAAGTGGAGAAAATGAGAATGATTCAGGAATGCCACAGTGCCCTGGTGTACCTTTTAGATGAGAGAGAAAACAAGTCCACAGATCCAAAATAAACTAATGGAATCTGGACCATCTATCCATTGAGTCATTTGGGATAAAGACACAGAACATTTTCTGAAGAAAACCCAAAACCAGTGATTTCATGTCAGGGTACCATGACATTATAGTTGTTTTGTTGATTGTGTTGCTTTTTTCCCTTAGTGTTACTTTGCAAAGGCTCCAAGAAACAGCAGCTGTCATAAGAAAGAAGGCAATGTTTACTCTAGTTCCCATCTCAGTTTCGTATGCTAGGAATATCCTTTAGAAATGCAACTTCTCCTATTCAGAAGTGATCCATTTCCAACAGCATTTGCTCTCATAGTGTGGAGGAGAAAATTCCAATAACAACCCATTCTCAGTTACATGAGTAGTGTTATCCTCATGTAACCAAAGCATGGTCTCTTTGCTGGAAATAATTCTCTGTAGCCCTGCCTCAGGTTATATTGTATGATTAAAAATATAGTGAATGGTTAATTTTTTAATTTGTTACAGTAATAGACTCATTTATCCCCTTCAAAAGAGTCCCATTCACTTTTAACACACTTATCCCATCATGGGTGCCACTTTCTGAAGCAGTTCTATACATCCTCTTTTGTGAGTGTCTTAGGTACACTGGTGTATCTGCTTTGTTGTCCTGAATGAATTCCAAGTGTGTGCCTTTTATGGTCTTATTGACTAGAAAAGAGCCAGAAGTTGCATAATACCAGATCTGAAGAATAAGATGAATAGGGAGAAGCTTAGTTGGCTGACACTATGTTTTTTATCACATGAAATAATTTCCAGAACTGCTTCAGAATGGGATAAATATGTTGAGAGTTAAGGGTATTTTGAAGGGAATTAATGGCAATTTTACTCTAGTAAATTTTGAAAACCTTCACTTTTATTTCATTCATAAATTTTAATCATTCCTCATATAGAGATTCACAAAAACTTACAAATTGCCCTTTTTTAATCATAAATTGGCAATTAAGAGAGCATGTTAGACAACTTACAGGAGTTATAGGATATTCAACAAAGTGCTTGCTAGACCCTCTTAGATGTGTCATTGACTTTGGATTTCCTTCCATACAGAAATGTTTCCATATTGTGTCCCAAATGACTCAATGTTGACAGGGTTTAGACTCCATTAGTTTATCTTATGTACAAGAGTCTTTCTCTTCTCTCTTGTCTTAAAGGTTACAGCAGTACCTCTCCTCACCTAGAAATAAATTTCCGGGCCTTCCCAACCAGTATGGAGGGATAGCACTAAAAGTATTTTTATCTTCCTTCATATAACTACTCACTGGTTCGAAGTTGTTTAGAGTCATGTGATCTCTGTTCTACCATCAGATTGATCTTTCACAAACTATTTTATGTCTAATTATTTTTATCAATCATTAAGAAACTTCTGTCAGATATCTTCTCTTGTCCTAGAGGTTACATTTTTGGTTATGGGATTAAAAATTAATGTTTTCTCTAATAAGTTACTTCAGAATTTGCTCTAGGTGCTACCTATATCTTTGAGGCATGGCCCTCTTTGCCCTAATCATTATATTAACTTTTAGAATTCCATGTCCATAGAACTCCTTCGTGACACTGGCCATCTCAGTCACCGATGTATAATAGATCTCAGTTCATAACTACCCCTGTATTTAGACTTCTAACTCCATACACATCTTTCATGATAAGATACATCAAGTCACCAGAGACACCTCTTTCCCTTAGGGCACACTACTGTCAGAACTGCAAGATGTGAATAAAGTTCTGTGGCTTGGAGGGTATTTCTGGAAAAACATTACTTAACTACTTGCAAAAATAATAGTTTAGCTTTTTTCTTTCATAGTAGCAGGTAGAAAGTCACCCAACCAAATTTGAAGCATAGAAGAAAATAGTCACTGTACTACGGTTCTTTAATAACCATTCCCACTCCATTTCCTTAGATATTCCTTAATACATAATGTGAATAATATTGCTGTAAAGTATTATATTGTATTATTTGAAGACAGACTACATGTCATTTTATTATACTCCATCAATCTATAATATATTAGACCAATGCTTTATCTAAAATGCTTTGAGTTTGTATAATATATCTGGACAAATTTTATTACCATATGTTTGTTATGTAATAAATGTGTATTTTTGTACTTGCAGAAATTGCTGCTAACTTTTAAAGTCATTTCATTTCCAAGGCACTGATAATGGATATGTCTGAAGTCCATGCTGTCTGTTAAATAAAAGACCATTCTGCAGAGGTAACAGTTACATCAGAGCATTGCTGACTTGGAGGGGTTGTTGGAGTCAATGAGTCCAGTCATTGCTTCACATTGGGAATTTCGTAGAGTGTAATTTTTAAATTTTTTTTTAAAAATCGGGGTCGGGGAGATGGCTCAGTAGAATAAATGCTTCCCTGGCAAGCACAAGCGTCTGAGTTCCATCCCTGGTTCCGGAAAAAAAAATTATTTTTTATTTATTTATTTGGTACAGGGTCTTGCTATGCAGCTTGAACTCATAGTGATCCTTCTAAGCCTCCCCAGAGCTAGGATTACAGGCATGCACCACCACACCCAGTTTCTCATAGAATACAATTCTGCATTGGAGCTTTGAGATTTTGTTTATTAGTTATAGTCCTTCCAGAAAGAATGTGTTTTTTTCCTTTTTTAAAAAATCTTACCAAACAAGGCATGCGTTAAAACATACAATCTTCATTTATATTTTCACTGTGCTCCCAGGATGACATATAGTTTATATTTTTATATCAAAACCACTGTTAGCTCAGTTTAATTGATTATGGGATGTTCTTAACAAACTGGACCATTCTGACCAGAGTACCCAGGTGACCTTAGATACACACTAAAAATCACTGCTTTTCATTCAATAAGTGTCTCATGATTGTTTCATCTTTGCCTCTCAGAGTTCGCTGAGGTCTGCTTTATAAATTTAGGCACTGTTTCAAAAGGATTTAAAACAAAAAGTTTACTTCCTTATCCCAGATGTTTACTCAGACTGGATAGTAAGAACCACAAGTCTACTTTCAGAAATGTTACTGCTTTTATTTAAGCAATATACACATACACTGAGATCAATTTCTATCTAAACTTTACAGAAGTCCAATTTGCTTTTATAAAAAGGTTCTTCATCTGATGTTATTACTAGATTAAGAATTGTTTCTTTACTGTTCAAGGTAAAATGTTTACTCAGGACCTAATGCATCCTCAACCCAATGGACTTTTTTTGTTGAAAAAAATTCTAAGGATATCCTGTATCTTCATCCAAACTCTGTTGATAAGTGTTTAGCTCCTGTGCTCTTACCAGGTTGTTTTGATGACTTGAGAGGTTATTTTCCAAACTTCATATTTTAATCCAAAGAGAAATTCATTAGCTAGATACTCATTAAAAAGTTATATTCCTGACATGTCTTTAGGTAAAATGTTCACTTTCTTTTGTATGTATTCTGGCTATTAGAATTTCTCATAAGCAGAGAACTGAAAGGAAAATAACTCAAGTTCTATCCTGTCTCCCCAGAGTGAGTTGTTTTTGTGAAGTACCTTCATGTGTCATTGAGTTTCTTTTTTGTTTCAAACACAGTGAACTGGAGGTTCAGCTTTGCATAATATTGAATGTTTTGATAAAACTGGCAGAAGGCTCTAGAGTGTAATTTGGAAAATTATGTTTTGATTTCCCAGAGAAATATCATTGATAGAATTGGATGAATATTCTTTAGTTTGTGTTCACATTGGGCAGCAACAACACATGAACATTTTTAGGTAATTCATAGTGTTACCTAATATATTTTTTCCTTGTCAAGGCAAAGTAAATAAGTTTTCTAGAGTTAATCTTTCATGGTGATGTAAGATACAATTTTGGTAAATATTAAAGTCTAAATTCTGATTGTTTTTAGCTGGTTTTAATTTTAAATTATAGTAACTTGGATTTGAGTTTAGAATTGTATTCTCATGATTTCCTTTGAGAGTGAATAAATTGGCTAAAATTTTGGGAAGTCATCCTATTACTCTGAGCAAATAAAATGGGTGCTCGGAAGAAAGATCTCTGCTAGATCATAGGAGTTACAGCTGTTACTGACTAAAATTTTGAGGAAGAAAAGAAATATTTTATATTGTTGCCCAAGGATAGAATGATTGACTACCAGAGAATCATAGAAATTTGTGACCACAGAGAAGCTTCTCCTTAGGAGGGGAAGAAAACCTTAGATGAGCTAATTCAAGCAATGATCTGATATACAAAAAGCTAAAAAAAAAACTGAAAGAGGAGAGGAGCAAAGGGGATGGGAAAATTGGAAATGTTAAAATGCTCTTGATGTAGTTAATTTTTTACCGCTAGCTGTTCTTGCCACAGATGTGTAAAGAACGTCAAACTACTGGCTTGCGTGGGCCCTACTGAATAAAGAGGAATTGTCTGCTTGGTAGTGAACACCTGCCTTCCCAGGCACATGGATGTGTGTGGAGGTTGGAGTACTGTAATCAGAAAGCACTGCATTTTAGTCACCAAGTTACACAAGCGCATATAACATCTGATATCAGAAGTTTCAA